ATTAGGCGTCAATATGCTCATTGAAGTAACCTCACTATGGCTAGACAATCTGCACACGCACATATATATAAGGGTAAACGGCCGAAAACCCTCCTAAACTATACCGCTAATTGAAATGCAAACCCTGAATTATTTTTTCAGCCAATTTAACCATCAGACTATTTTAAATGGCCAATTTACCCCCTGCCGTCGAGTTTTTAGACTTCCATTCAATTTTCTGTTAATTATAAGGACAATACCAAAAAATAATATAGCCGTGCGGCTATACTAATTCTTTAAAAAAAATAAAAAAATAAATCTTTTTCCTTTTCCTTCTTCTTCTTCCCTTTGTTTTCTTTGCTAGGAATTGATCAAATCCTACCCAACCAACAGCTAGAGCATGGAAAATAGGTGAGAAAGCATACCTCACTCGTCAAGATTGGTGACCGGAGTAAGGAGAACGAAAGCTTGGAATTTCTGTCAAAAACCGACGCGATCTTAGACGTTTTCCAGCGAAATCTGACGGTTCCAAGGGCAGGGATCGGTCTAGAAAGGAAGGGGAAGTGGCGGCGGGTCTTTTTTGCCTAACCCCACGAACCAACTGACAACTGACTTTATAGTCACGTGTCACTCATTAGGCGTCAATATGCTCATTGAAGTAACCTCACTATGGCCAGACAATCTGCACACGCACATATATATAATGGTAAACGGCCGAAACCCCCCCTTAACTCTACCGCTAATTGAAATGGCAGCCCTGAATTATTTTTTCAGCCAATTTAACCATCAGACTATTTTAAATGGCCAATTTACCCCCTGCCGTCAAGTTTTTAGACTTCCATTCAATTTTCTGTTAATTATAAGGGTAAGTTTGTCATTTTACAAGGACAATACCAAAAAATAATATAGCTGTGCGGCTATACTAATTTTTTTTTTATAAAATAAATCTTTTTCCTTTTCCTTCTTCTTCTTCCCTCTATTTTCTTTGCTAGGAATTGATCAAATCCTACCCAACCAACAGCTAGAGCATGGAAAATAGGTGAGAAAGCATACCTCACTCGTCAAGATTGGTGACCGGAGTAAGGAGAACGAAAGCTTGGAATTTCTGTCAAAAACCGACGCGATCTTAGACGTTTTCCAGCGAAATCTGACGGTTCCAAGGGCAGGGATCGGTCTAGAAAGGAAGGGGAAGTGGCGGCGGGTTTTTTTTTCTTGACCCACCGG